TCCTCTATTTTCTTTATCCATATCTTAGCTCTAGCAAAACTCAGGGCTCTTTGCTTAGTCTTTTTGCCCGAAATTAAATAATACAATCTAATTTATATTTAATTATTAATTGCAAAGGTAATTAATTTTGTATTCGATAATACCGATTGGGATACCGAAGTACCGATTGGGATACCAAAATATTTAGGGATTGGGATACCAAAACTATTTATTAGTTGGGATTGAGATTGATTTTGGGGTGTAATTTGGTATTTGGAATTTCGGTATTTGATATTGGAATACTGATACCGTACCGATTTCCAGTGGCGGAGGCAGGATTTGAAACTACCCCTGTCCTCTTTTCGTATTATAAATATATAAATATTTAATAAATTTAAATTAATAATATCTAAATAATTTATTTTCATATATAAAAAATAACGACTAATATAATCGGTATATTCATAAACAACCATGATGAGTTTTCATATTCTTAAAGAAACACAAAATATACTCTTAAGTCCTTTTCAATGGATCCCACTAAACAATCATTTAGGATGGTTGTGAATTCGACTTTAGAGTTCGTTCTTGATATATCTCAAAGCTGGAAATATTTTATCTACACTTGTCGTCAAAACTAGTGGAATCGACGCTATCACTGAACTGCTTCAAGATTGCTGGGAAAATAATCGAATATGCATATGAAGAAAAGAGATATATTCCAATTGAGATTTCGTTTATAGTATAATAAATGAATTTAGTGTCAATTTATAATCAAGTAATGAATTGTGATATAGTGACAAAATACGTTGTACTAGGTGTCGTGTTCCATCCTTAACATAAAAATATATGGAGTATTTTGTTCCTCCCAAAATTTACCCCTGTCCCGGGACAATGCCAAACTAGGTTGGCTCCGCCTATGCTGATTTCCACCCCTAGATATGACAGCTCACTTAGGACAACTATTATGGGCTAGAACACCTTCAGACATTGCAAGATAAAGAACTTGAGCTTTTGAAGAACTTGAAAGTCCCATATCATTTTTCAGATAGGAGGGTTAATAATATGCACTAGAGACCTGCGATTTGTGATCAAAACATACACTAGTGCTAAATGGTATCCAGTCTTCACCGTATATACACCAATCTTAACTCCGTTATGTACAAATCTCGCTCGTAGGTATATAATATTCTGCACTATCCGCCCCTAATCCAAAGGAGTTCGGGTTTTACCCTTATCCATACCCACATAAGTATCAGGTAGAAAATTAAAACCATGCTCATACCCATACCCATTCGAGGTTCGAGTATCCACGGTTATCCATGGATAATAATTTTTCTTTATAACTTCAACCAACATGCTAATATTCACAGGAGTATATAAGGTAATATACTCACATTACATAAGTGCAAAAGTACGACAATAGATAACTAGAATGAAGAAAATTAATTAAATAGTTATGAAAATATTATATTTGTATGCTAAATATAAAATATTTTGAGCAAAATAATAATCATTTTTTAGAAAAAAATATATAGATGCATGTGTATAATCGGTCGGGTTCGGGTTGGATGTCCACCCATTACCTACATTATCCAGGTTCGGGTTTTACCCATACCTATTGAAAATCATTCAGACTCGATTTTAACCTACCCGATAATATCAGATTCAAACAAATACCTACGGTTCCGGGGGCTTAGGACTTTGTTACTCACCGTGAGTAACCACCTTAGGACAGTAGATCTGGGTCCTTGTGCTCCCAAGTCACATCTAAGACGAACTCATATCACCAACCACCAGTCCCTCACCCTAGCCCACAACCCACAACTACTCTCTCTCTCTCTCTCTCTCTCTCTTTGAAAAAAACAGAAACAGTCGTCACTGAGATGTGAACGTGCTCTACGCGCAATCCTCGCGTGAGAGAGACGGGAGAATGGAGACAGAGTGAACGTGGAAACATTGCTGGAGGCAGCGGTTGATCGATCCCTTCATGGTTTTGTGAAGAAAAACAAAAAATTCTAACAACCCACAAAACTCATGAACTGATCGATAAACTTTATGTAGCTAACATAGGCCAAATTCCTGATTTTAATTATTGTTTAATACTAAATTAAATTCCTATATATCTTATAAATAGAGGATAAATTTAAAATCGTGGCCCAAATATTATTGGTTCGAATATTCCATATCGAATTGCAGTATTGAATATGTAAAAGTGATGTATAGTTCTTAAATTAGTATTAATTTTTAGACCTACTAGGACACAATCATATTCATATCTTTGTGTAAATTACATGAGACTGGTTCTTTTAACATTTTAGTTCGGCTAACCATCAAATTTTAAACCTCTTCGTATTCAGATATGAATGGATCCAACAATCATTAGGAGTTTAATAAGTTGGTTTATTTCACCTTTTTTAATGTGCTAATGAATTTGTAGGGAAAGTACATGTCTTTATATACACTCTACACAATATATGATACTGAAATGAGAAAATTGTTGTCTCATTTCAAATTTCCTACAACAAGAGCGAAAGTAGGAATGATATTTTTTGCTTCACAATTATTTTACAGAAACTACGAACTTCCAAAATCCATAAATTGTTGCGCAAACTAAAAATCAGAACATCGAAAATCAAAGTTCACAAATTTTATTTCATATATCACTTATTTGAGAGATTTTCTTCCTATGAACAAAGTAAAATGAAAAAAGTTATAGTCAAATCAACAGCTTTGGCTCGAAGACGATGACCCGTTTCTTCAGGGGAGAAAGGAATACATGCAGGTGCAATTAGAGATCTGGAGAGCAAAGACGAAAAGGATACACCACGAGTTCGTGAATGAAGACAGTGATATAGATCATCAAACCATGAGCTTAGGGCTAAATAAAAGAATATGAGGTTAGTTAGATGGTTGATGATATAAAATTTGCCGATTTGATATATCTATAGGAGATCTCTAGCGTCGGCTTAGAAAACAAAGAATCGAAGGGGAATAAGATATAGACTCTTTTATTAACAACTAATTGAGTGCATGAGGGTGGATAAACGATGCATTCATTTATCTTTTTCAATAAATAAAATAAAATAAAAAACTTCAATAAAAAAATACAAACAGCATCGTAAATTTTGGTGGGTTTCTATTCAACTTTTGAACTTTGTTCCTTTTTCAGCCTGATCGGATTATTTAAAGCTATTATCCTACTAAAATAATTTTATTTTATTTTTCTGCTGTATTGTTGTAATATTTTGACCAAAATATGTTAGTAAGTTAAATGATATATTAATTAAAGTAATATAATATTCACGCTCTTTCGGCGCACTCAAATTATAATTCTCGAAGAAAATACGCTCTTACGCTCTTGTTCTAGCTTCTGCTCTAGCTCCCGCTCCGCAAATTGGTAAGCTAAATCCATCAAGTCAATTATGTAGACAAAGAGACTACTGGCAAAACTCGTCTTTCACCACATATTGCCTTCCCTCGCAAACTCCCCACGCTCACTTCCCACTTGGTCGTTCCTCATTAATTCCACATCTGACACACACCGCCGCCATAGGAGTGCGACCTTCATCGCGTTATGACTACATATTGTTGGAATGCTTTTTAGGAGCTCGAAAGCGGATAACGAAAAGTAGCAGGTAGAGAAACAATCAATTCCCATCCATAATCAATTCTCATCCCGTCCCGTCCAGTTCATGTATAGCTGGCTGGAAATTTTAATTAGCTATAGCTATTTATTAAAATAAAACCTTTCATTACCCTCCCTAACTTGTACTACGCACTACTGCCATATATATTGCAGATCGAGAGAGCAAAAATTGAGTAGCAAAGAAATGTAAGCCTTGAAGTCATAATTCCCTTCCCTTGCTACCTAGTACCCAGAATTCCCAACATATTGTATATAATAATACAGAGCTAACCATATATGATTAAATAAGATCGGGCAAGCAAAAGAACCAGGCATCATGCATCAAAGGATATCCTTTAGGTATTGTGTATGATAATTGTGAGTAAGTACCATCATTCCAAAACAAAAACCTCTAATTACTTGTGTCGTGTTTAGCTGGGTAATCAAGAAGTAAACAAGTCATAGTCAACAAGGAAATCTTCTCAACTAACACTCAACACAATGATGGCAAAGCCACACCATCACCCCTTGTGAAAATGGGGGAAACACCAAGGCCTGCAATACTAAGTCCTGACAGCAGTCCTATGCCATTATCCAAGACATCATCACAAATTACCACATCAAACTTCAGTGTTCTGCCATTTCAAGGGGAACAATAGATCTTGAACTTATTCATCGGAAAAAAACAGATCTCGAACTTAGAAAATAGATGGTTTGGGTTGGCTTACCTTTGTCTAGGAGGATTTTTCAGTCCACGACGGTTGAAGTAGTTTCTTCCTCTTAACTTTCCTTCGATAACTTTTGATTTGGCAGGTGTGCATACACAAAACCTAGGGTTTCAGAGAGTTGGAGGCTGGTCGAGGGCCAAAAGAAGAGAATACTAGGGAGAATGTGGGAGACCTCCGTTCAGCTCGTTGAAGAGAGTTCACGGAGATTCGCGGCGGCGGTTGTCCATCTTATAGAGGCGGCACGCTAGTCGAACACTCCTCCCATCTTTAGTGTCGCCATAGGCAGCTGAGACGCCGATGATGAAGCGACCGGCGGCGAAGTAGCTTAAGGATCCGTTTACGATGAGGGCAATAGAAGCAACATGAGAGACTGGTTTTGGAGGAAATTGGATTTGGGGAAGAACTATCGACCAAAAACTAGGGATTGTTTACTGAATAGATAGCAGCATGAAGGGACAGAACTTTGACAAAGAGGGCGGATGGCATATAGACAAAAATGGCGCCGTTTGATAAATATGAAAGGGCATTGCTATTCGTCGCCCTAAAAATCCTTAATTTTCGCCCTAATTATATTAAATTTACTCTAATGTCCTTACTTTTTTTATTATTATTATTATTATTATTATTATTTATTTCAATCTTAAACTCTCACGTAATCAAAAAAGGGGTTAATGCCACATTTGGTCACTGTAATTACTAAATTGTGTCATGTTTAGTCACTAAAAAAAATTAATATCAAATTTGGTCACTCGAATTACTAAAACGGGTCATATTTAGTCACTCTCCATTAGTCTCCGTCCAACTCCGTTAATAGAGTCTGTTATGTGCTAACGTGGCTAACGGTAGTGCCTAGTCAGCGCCGTTTTGGGGCTAAAAATGATCAAACCCGACCCGCCACGTCACTAAACCTGCCATATTACACACCCAACCATTAACCCAACCTAACCCGACCCTGAACCAAACACTAGCCCACAAAATTGGAAAATTGTAGGGTTAGTTTCCCCATCGCATCAAACAACCAAACCCTCAACCTCCTTCTGTAGTTCTTCTTCTTCGTCGAGCATCGTCGTCAGCTTCCCCCATCGCAGCAGTAGACAAAACCCTAAATCAATTTCCCATTGAGCCGGCGTCAGTTTCCCCCATCGCGCGGCGGCGATAGAACAACTAGAGAATGACGACGGCAGGAATGGCGTGGATCCAGTTGGTTGCAGATGTGGCTCTAGCGAAGTAGGAGCGGCGGTAGCGATAGGGAGGGAACTCGTCGTCATGTACATAGATGGTGTGGTGGTGATCTTGCGGCGGTGCTCTTGAGGGGATAGTCTGTCTCTACTGAATCGCGAGGAGAGAGAATCGAATTGAGAGTCCGGCTGCTGGAGACTTTCTCAAGGTAAAACCCCTCGCTCAACTTCTAATCCGCGATTCTAAACGGAATTTCATTCCATTACTGTCGAATTCCCCACTTTCCAATCTGTTTCCAGTAATTCATTTCGTTACTGTCGACTTCTCCAGGTTTTCTCACTATACAAAGTAGAATTAAAATGGTTACTTTTGCCATCTTATTGTTCTGCTTCTTGTTACTTATCGCTGCTAGCTAGGGTTCTTGTTTCTTGCTGCTTCTTTTGCAATAGATTGGTTCTGGGTTGAGTTGTGTGCATGACAGGGCGAGTTTAGTGACGTGGCGAGTCGGGTTTGACCATTTCTGGCCCAAAATGGCGCTGATTAGGCACTCCCATTAGCCACGTCAGCACATAACAGACTACATTAACGGAGTTGGAGGGAGACTAACAGAGAATGACTAAATATGACCTATTTTCTAGTGTCTAAACATGACACAATTTAGTAATCACACTGACCAAACATGGCATCAGCCCATATGGAAAGGGACCCAACTTATTTTTGTAACCATGTCTTTCTCCATATACAAAACACTGACGTTTTGGGCCAGTCTTCCGCGACAAGTGCGTCATCGCCAATCCGTATGATGTTATGGCGTCAAGCCAAATTGTCGCAAATGTCAACATATTTTTTGCAACGAACTTGTTTCGTCGCCATCGCATTTTTATAATTCTACGATGACCTTTTTTGTCGCAATTTTCGTTTAAGAAATCGTCGCAAAATCCAACCCGACCCCTTGTTCGTACCCAAAATAACACCTATTAGCGACAAATACAATTTTTCGTCGCCGAAAATTTCATATCAGCAACGCAAATTATTTTTCATCACAAAAAGGTCACTATTAGCTACGAATTTTGTTATGTCGCAAATATTTTGTCGCTAATTGTCCAATTGTCGTGTCAAGATTTGAACCCGAGTCACTTCAAACAAAGAAACAATTATAATCAATTACGCTAAATGAATTTGGTGTATCTTTTTTAATACAAAACATACATGAAGTTCAACTCTGAAAAGCGGAGGACTTTCCATCATGATTAACAAGCCCACCAAGTCTACTGTATGTCTTTTATGGTGCTTAATAATTCAAATTTCATAGTCGAGTTTCATGTACTTTTATACATTTTAAAATTCATGCTCTCTCCTTAATTTTTGCTAAAGGTAAATTGGTAATTGGCTAACATGGAAGAAACTATGTATTTTACTACGTGTTTTGTCATGCATTTTTCAATTTAAATTTTGTGATTTTTATCTTTGTTCTTATCTCTTTCTAACTTCCATTGAAATTCACTCCATCGTGCAATAATTTGCGTCCTTTCACTTCCCAGTACAAGGACGAATTTGAAAATCAATATTTCGATATCTCTTACCAATGTTGTTATATTCTTGGGGATTAAAGTTGGGCAAGTACAAGATTTCAACTCCAATATCAATACATGGAAAATGGAATGGAGTTCAATCAAATAGTTTATGGTCTGGCCTTGATTATCTTGCTCAATTCCTATGAACTGACATCACCCAATGGTTTTGCCTCTCCTCGATGTACTACCAGAAGAATTATTTTGCTGCTTCTATTGCTGAAGACAATGTTTTGATCAGTTATATCTTCCGCCTTTACTCCTCTTCCTATATCAGGCATTGACCTTGAATAGGTTTTCGGTATTTGTCCAAGACTAATCACTTCGCATATGTAAGTTATTCCTTCTTCTCTATGTCTCATGGTTCTATCTTTCTGATTAATAACAAAACAACTTTTATTTTCACGTTGTCAAATGAGCAGAACATGCAGAAGATCTATTTCTTTTGATCTTGTTTCCTGATACAATATTTGAAGCTTGGTGGATCTCCTGCGTCATTGCTCCTCTTTATGTTATTAGGTGACAATTTCAATCAGTTTCTATCTTCATAGAAGGTTCATCAACTTGAGCTGGTAGGCAATAATTTCCTTCCCGATTTATATAAGTTTATTGTTTGTGAATTATTTAGAAAATATAGGAAATGAATTTGAACCATGGTTTGGGTACTAGATTTGTTGGAAAGCAAATGAGATGTTTGTCTAGAACAGGGGCAGTTGTACTTTCCTAGCGCCCTGACTACTTTCTGGAGTAGGAAGGGGAATTTAATTGTTGGCAGAAGGAGAAGAGAGAGAGAGAGAGAGAGAGAGAGAGAGAGAGAGAGAGGCGAAGGCAAAGTGTGGGGAAGGTGAGCGTGATTTAATTTGGGAAGGGATTTGTTAGGAGAGATTGAGCGGGTGGGGAGAGGTAATTTGGGCGCACACTCAAAAATTGGAATTTTTCAATTTGGATCCAAAAACGAAACCACTATATTATGACGAACATGCCCTTTTGTCAGCTCGTCGTCAGATTATTGTTATCTATTGTGACAAAATACTTTGTCATTTAAACAATTAAGGAAGGCATAATATGACAAAGCTACTATGACGATATCATTTGTCATTTGTCCTATTATGAAAGATTTAATTGTGACACGAAATATTTGACACATTACTCACTTGAAATGACGAATTATTTTGACAACAATTATTTTGTCACATTAGGCATACCATATAGGACATATATTATTTTTGTCATATTACCATACCTATTGTGACAAACAAAAAATGACAAAATAATTTTTTGTCCTAATAGGCCAAATTTATTGTAGTGGTTGGGTTTATGGAAACCTCATCTCAGATCTATAGAACTGAGCATGGAAGATTTGCTCAATCTACTCCCATGTCTCGACGGAGTTGGATGGTAAGTTGACAAACCAAGCAAAAGCAGGTTTTGTCAATGAGTTACCAAATACTTTTAACTTAATAAAGTCTCCTACATCCCCACATTGAACAGTGAAACGCCCAATGTGCTCCATAGTAGACTGCTCTCCTGTCCCGGTGAACGTGGCAAACTCGGGCACCCTAAATCCCCTTGGGAATGGGTAACGTCTATCCACCCACTCAGGGTATGGTTTTCGATAAACACGAGGCATGGTGGGTCTCACTCCCAAGTTGAGCCACCTGGTTCCTTAGAGTATTGGGATCATGCCCCCCATGTTTGCCCCTCATGGGATACGAATCCCATGTAGTACATGACATGCCAATTGAAATGGGGTGGCACGGGTGTTGGGTACACCCATGTAGTACATGCCATGCCCACTAAACTCATCAAAATCATTTTTGCTCTTATTAACCACATCACATAATTGACTCAGGCGTCTATCTACTCGAGAATTAAGACAGTCCATTTGAGAGTTTAGCTGATGAGAAGCAGCTCTAGCCTCCTCCATCATGCGATGGTTCTCCACCATCATTTGGCAGTTCTCCTCCGTGGCTCGATGTTCTCTGCCGCCAGCTTGCGGTTCTCCTCCATCATTTGACGAAGGACCCCCACTACTTCACTTATATCTCCATTAGGCGTCGTCGTTGGTAGGATCTCCGCCCCATCATTGTTTCCGTCCACCGCCTCTGATACTTGACCATGTTCAATGTTGGCCACCTGCTCCTCCACAAAACCAGCCAGAGCTCGCCTTCTTGATTCTTGCTCCTTGGAGCCATCAAATCGAACACGTGTCCCATCAGGTGTGTCAATTTGTTTTCCCGACGAGAAAATATATATGAAACATAATGGAATTCACCATTGACTTGAAAACAAACGATTAATTAAACACGGTCCACACCTCTTCGAACAAATTTTAAACAAGGGTGTTCGATGTTCTTGATGATCTACGAGACAAATCTAAATTATATTAACTCTACTCCTATGGAGGTTCAGTGAGAGCTCTGAAACTACAACTATGGCTATGACTACATTTACAGTGGAAAAGGTAAAGATAAAGATAAAGTTTGACAATAAGTTGTCTAGTGTAATTTTGGCGAACCTCTTCTTTGTCAACTTCACCTCCTATTTATAGCCACCAGAAGTAACTGCCTCGAGAAACTGCTCCACTAACGTGGACTAGCGGTTACCCTCTCAACTGCTTCGATTATGCCCTGCCATTGGTAGTTGTACCCTCTTCAGCCTTGGCCCCCTCACCTTGATAGTTGTGCTTTCCAGTTGAGAAAAACGAAGAAGGCGTGAAGACCCCCTTGCCACATGTGGGTGGGTGTTCGGATCACATAGAGTAAAAATGGCAAGTAGTTCACCACTACGCGAGCGGCATACTTGGCCAAATTTCATCCCCTAGGGGGTTATACTTATCCAAATTTTACTCATTCTCATCATACTAGGGGCTTACCCCCCTCTCATCGCACCCTCTTGATCACCTCACAGGGACGTCTGGTGATCGCCCCCCTCACCACCCG